AATTGAGGAGGATATGGATGGATTTGGCAGTGTAGAACGGGGCCCTGAGTTGTGCAGAGCACTGGCAGTGCTGGGGTGGCACCAGGACATGAGACTGCTGCTAGGGGCCTCAGGCAGTGGGGCCATCATCCTATAATACAGCCAAGTCAGGGTTATAATAATTTCAGTGATACAAGAGGTGAGGAATTAATGAATTAATTTTAGCATCCTGTGTGATAGGAAAAATTTGAGGGAACTCAGTTAAAAATGCAACAAATGGCACAATGATCTCATTGGGTAGCTGAATGGTGCTGTGGGGAGAATACTGTCAGGGAGGTCTGGGTAACCCAGAGTGTCCCTGATCCCCATCATCCACCATCCCCAGGGTCCCACTGCCACCTCCTGCCTGATCATGATCCTTCTCCGTGTTTGCTCCCCAATTTTGTGCCTTCAGAATTGTACTTTGGTCACTCCAGAGCTGCATTTGCTGCTCCTGGCCCTGGTGCAGCTTGGGTTTAGTGCTGGTGGTGGAGAAAGGACTCTGTGGGGGTAAGAGCTCCCTGCTTCACACCCAAGGCAGCCCACAGCCCATGGGAACCATCCCACTGCTCCTCCCCACCCCTCCATGCTCCACAGGACACTCAGTGGGGGATCCCCAGGGTCCCCACGGACCCCTGAGGCCCCAAATGCCCATCTGGTCCCACACCCCACTCCATCAGCCCCATGGTGAGTCCCAGAGGACCTGTGGGCACCTCTGCTCATCACTGGAGCCTCCAGTGCCACGTGTGCCCCATGGAAATGTACACAACACCAAGAGCCAATCCTGCCTCCACACACCAGCTCACAGCAGGGAGCAGAGCTGCCAAGAAGAGAGGTGCAGATAGGATTTAACAGGAACACAGAATAGGTTCCCATCCCTGAGAGGGCTCAAGACTGCACTTGAGATTTCCCATTTGAGGCCCTGGTCTTCATGAGTGTGTTTTGACTACCTTGATCCCCAGCAGGGCATAAGCATGCCAGGAGTATCACATCAGGTTTTGTCTTCCTGACCTATGTGGTAGAGGAGCTGACAATCAGCAGGGCCCTGCTTACACTTTGAACAGGAAAATAAGAAAGGAATCACTGGGAGGAGTGCCTGAGTCCTTGTAAGGTTGTGCTGCCACTCTGAGGGAGACCTCTGGGACGAGCCCAGGGACAAATTCCTATCAGGACGGTGTCCGGGTCCCCAGTTAGACAAGAACGAATGCTCAGACCAACCCAGCTCAATGATATGCAGAAATAACTGAGAGGAACTCTCAAAGCACCAGTGAGGATTCTTAGTTAATAGCAGATCAAGGGAAGAAGGCTCACAGTGCTAATTGTTTGTGGAAACTCATTTACTAAGGGACAGGTAAAACATGGTGCAGGCAGCAAAGGTCCTCACAGTTGGAATCCTGAATCAGCATCTCACCAGGGCACGACCTTCCCTTCCCAGTCCAGGAAGGCCCCAGTCTCCTTCTCAGAGATGGAGGACAGCACCTTCAGCATCCCTTGCACGCTGTCATCCACTGTCAGGGGAGGCTGTGGGGCAGAGAGAGAAACAGCTCTGTGCTCAGGGGTCTGCCCTGAAACACATCATTGCTCTGGGCAAGAAGCATTCCCAGTCCTCATCACCCTCCCTCCCATGCCTACAGGGTATCCACCCAGAAGTTCTCACACAGCCCAGCATGAGACCCCAGCAAATTCTGCATTTCAAAATGTTGAGGCTCTCCCAGACCATGCACAGGAGATCCCTTACCTTGAATGATCCTCCTCCACCCCCCATGTCAGTTTGCACCCAGCCGGGGTGGAAAGTGACGCAGAGGATGCCGTGCTCCTTGTACGCCAGGGACTGGCACTTGCCCAGCATGTTCAGAGCAGCCTGAGGGGAGACAATGCGGGACGGTGCTGGGAGGGGAAGGGAGGCTGCAAAGGGAACATGTGCACACCCCACAGCCAGGGCAGGGATTGGGCAGAGGGGGCCACTTCCCAGGATACAAGATGCTCCCTCACTATCCATGTATGGATGCCCAGCCAAGATGAAGTCCCACTATATCATATCCCTCTGAGGTGGGACCCAGGGCCAGGAACATGACTGAGCTGTGATGGGCACCCAGGGACTGGCAGGACCTCAGTCACAGCATAGAGAGGGGCACAGACTGAGGGGGAGGTTGCAAGGCAGTGTGATCTTTCGAAGGGGAAAATGTCTGAGCCCACCCCCAGCAAAATCTGGCAGTACCTTGCTGCAGCGGTACGAGACAACATGTCCAAACTCCCACACATACATAGTGTCAATGGAGCCGGCAATGCTGGATATGTTGACGATGGCAGCCTTGCTGCAGCTCAGCCCTGAGCCAGGGCTGCCCTGGGCAGCCTTCTTCAGCAAGGGCAGAAATGCCTGTTAGGAGACAGAGGGGACAGGAGCACACATGGACACAGCACAGGACAGGGGAGAAGCTCCTTCCACACTGGGCAACATGGACACCAGCACTGGGGGGCATCCTCCCTCCTCTTCCCTGCCAGGCTCCAGCTCCTGAGCTCCAGCCCATGGCTGCCTGAGCTTCTCAT